TGGCTGTCCTCAAATCTGCAGGAATAACAGGTGTTGGCAGTATCAGCCACACTTCTGTTTCTCGATTTCTTCATGAGGGATATTTTGCTGCACAAATTCAGCTTGGATATGAGATGAAAAAAGCAGAAAGTATGACTTTCAGTGCAGATGGTACAAGCCATCGTAGCATCAACTACAATTCCCGCCATGTTCATCTTATTGCTGAGGATTACACTTCACCAGAGGGCAGTTCAAAGCAACAAGTAACCCGAACTTTTGGAATTCAATCATCAAAAGATGGATCTAGTGAAGAAGCTATTGCAGACTGGGAGAATACTCTCAAGAAAATTATTGACCTCTACAATAACAGTCCTCTTGGAAAGCGCTCAGGTGGACTTCTCAAATTTATTGAACTTTTGATCAACCTTGCAGGAATGAGCACTGATCACTGTGCAAAGGAAAAAAAAGATGCCCGATTGCTTGAAACTCTGAAAGCTTGGGCTGTTGATCAACATCTTGGAGAAGAAAAAATGTTAGAAATGACATTAGAGGAGGTTTGTGACTATTTCAAGAAAGCAGAAGAGGAAATGATTAGAAAAGCTGGTGGGGTAAATAAGTGGAACAAACTGTCTGACATCAAGAAGGCTGAGAGGAAGGCCAAAATGATTGAAGAGGCAGTTGCTGAGTTGGGAAAAGAAGAGTTTGATAATCTCTCTGATGAGGAAAAACATATTTTCCGGCTCTTTATCTGGGCTGGCTGTGGTTGCCACAAGGATCTGAACACTATTCGGGGAGGGTATCTTGCAGTGGCAGCTTGGTGGATTGAGAATGGGCTTGAGGAAGAACACCCTGTCCTTCTTGCCAATCGTGATAATGATCCTGTGGTTCAAGAGCGAGCCACTGCTCTTGAGAAAGGTGACACCCTAACACCAGCTCAAGAAAGAGCTTTTCACAAATCAACACGTGGTGCAATTAAAACTGCAGAAATTGCAGGTGCAATCTTCAACAATAAAGACGATAAAAGGGGCCACCATGATATCTTTCGTTATTGGTGGTGGGAACATGTGGGAGTTCCATTTACATTTCCTGATACATCCAACAATAGATTCCAGTCATATTGTAATGCTGCTGCAGCCCTTATTCTCTATGGAGATAAATTCAAGGATTTTCTTGAGAGTCTACGCATCAACAAGCAAAATCCAACACTCAATCACATGGAGTTAAATCTCTGGAAGGCTCTCCACTGCACTTCAACAGTGACTGAGCTTGCTGTTCTTGCAATTTATGCTGAGGCTGTTTCATACCCATATATGAAAGCAATCTGTACTTCTGATGCCCAAAAAAAGAACATGCTTGACCTTGGTCCTTTTCATTCTCGTGTCTATGATCATATGCAGAAAATCATTGCAAATCCTGACATTCTCATTGGAAAAGACCTAGACATTTCTGAATCATACAAAACAGCGACTCTAGATGGTGAAAAGTGGCAGAATCCTGCAGTTGTAAAGAAGATATTTGACCTCATCCCTACACTCCCTCACTTCCACAATCTTTTGATTGCATTTTTCAAAGGAGCAGCACAAACATGGGAACGTTTCACATCAGAATTTGCACCTGGTGGCCTAATTGATGAAGCAACTGCAGAGGAAAGGGAGCTTGCACATATGCCTGCAACAAATGATGAAAATGAAGGTCTGCTAGGGTCTTTCCGACGCCTCATGCACTATCAGCCTCAGCTTACACTTCTCAGTTGCAATGCCTTGATAATGTTTTTCCGCAATAACACACAAGCATTTATGGAAACAAAGTTTACTGAGGAAGACTATCAGTATATACATAAACTTGGACGAGAGGCAAATGGGGAGGAGAAGAAAAGGCGCAATGAACTTACTGATTTCCGTGACCAACGACAAGCAAAGAAAACTGCACGCAAGGAGGTTTGGGAGCAAAATGCAAAGGCAACTGCAGAACAGATTGCACAGTTGGAACTTGTTTTTGACAAGGAAAAGGTCCCAGGACTCAAGGGCACGTCCCTCAAGGACCAATTGAGACTCTTCAAGAGTGCAGGTGCTCCAAATCTCAAGCAAGGGCCAATGCCAACCAAAGTTGCTGATATCCGCAAAGCACTTGTAGATGCTATTGATCTGCATACAAATGGTGCTTGGAAGCTCATCCAAGATGAGGGGAGTGAGGGTGAGAATATTAATCTGTCAGAGGAAGAGGAGGATGAGGAGGATGAGGAGGATGAGGAGGATGAGGAGGATGAGGAGGAGGGTTGGGAGGATATAGAGGGCTATGAGAGTGAATGAGATGTTGCCAGAAAACTGCATTTTCTTTGGATATTTTTCATGTTTAGCATTATTACAACACTTTGAATGTATAAAGTAGGCTATTATACAACTATTCTACAAAAGAAAAACTAAGGGAAGTGATCACAACTCATTCTGGAATTGGATCAGTGGCTGTGCAGCACCTATTGGCCCAAGGTTGCCTCCTCGAGCTATGAGCTTCACAACAGATAGGATTTGGGCTTAGGTTTGCAGAGACGAAATCATCGATTACTATGTGGCTACAATCCTACGGGTCCATATTTTTAATTACTAGCCTTTAACCATGTAAAAGTGCTGATTTTCAAGGGTATCTCGGCACAGGTGCCACAAATAAAAATTCTGGATCCGTAGATCGATTGGAATTTGAATTCTAAGTAAAATCCGTCTGCAAATCATGTTCATACGTGCTGTTGTTGAAAAGTTATAGTCCAATCACTTCAGACTGCCTCATTTGGCAGGGAAAACAGACTGATTTCGCATTTTTGGAGCAATAAATGCAATTTCTCCAGGGAAAACTCTCCCAGTGGATTCATTCACTTAATTCAATCAAACCCATTGCAAAAAATATATTGAATAGGTGCTGTGGAAAGTACAAACTCAATGTCTCAAGATATTGGGCCTGTGACACCATGTCACGGCATGTCACTGGTCATCACACTTACCGAGGATTGTGCAACACCAGGTGTACATGTTGTGGTTGAGACAGAGGCGAACAGATTTGAGACATCAACGTGAACTTGATTAGGCAACCATGAGAGTTTTGACTTGGACTCATGCATTTAGTATTAGGGGGAGTCAGGGTGAATGATTCAGTGCGATTCAGCAAACAGTTCACAAATGGTTCAAAAATGTTTGTTTCTCATCTGAACCATGGGAACTTGCTGAATTGTTGCAGAATGTGAACTGTCGTTGAAGCGCCTCTGGAGGTGCTTCACTGCCGGTTCAAGTTATGGTTCTACCTGTTCATTCCATGACTCCCCATATCAATTAGATTTGATTAATAATACTTATATATTTAAAATATCTGAAACCTCTGTGAATTTTCTGGTAATGCCCTACTATGCCCTTGCAAAAATGCTGCTGAAATTTAAGAACTCGCCAACGAAAGCTACTCAAAAACATAGGACCACCCTCTTACACTTACTTGTCAATCTATTCAGACTATTCTATGTATGCAGAAGCCATATCAGTCAATCCATGTAAGTTTTACTTAATTCTACAATTACTGACAGACTTTGTATTCAGAAGAATATGCCAATGTTAGAATTGACGAACTCTAACAGTCATATATTTTACAATCATGCCCTTTGGACATCCATAAGGCCATCACATTACTAATAATACACTATGAATCATGTAAAATTAGATAGGGGCACAGGAAAATCTGCGTGCCATCTGCGGACACCTGCGGACACAGGTTGCGTGCCAGTTGCGAACCGAAAGGAAGTATCTGCGGTCACTTGCGTGCAGATTAATCCAGTTGCGTGCACATTAGACCTAGTGAGCCGAGTATCTGCGGGCATCTGCGAGCATCAGCGCACCTTGCTGAGATTTCATATTTCTTGAGATTTCTTCAATGAGCACCATAATTATCCTTCTAGTTTAACGTATCTGAATCTCTCTTATTCTTTCTGACTTGTTGGTTTGTACCTATAGGTCTGTACTAAGACCATTTTTATGCTGAAATGTACAAGTAACGCAGTGTCTGAGGCTATGACTAGTCAGCCACCGGCTTCTTACCACTATTTTCCTTCTTTATCGGACGTGATTGTGGTCGATTTTTTTCCAGAGACTTCAGGACTCAATAGCCAATGTCTGCCATTGGCGAGTGATGGAGTCTCACCTCTCGTTCAGACTCGCTCTCTTCTTCCCATCCCAACTTGATTCCACACCAAACGAGGGACATTAGGGAAAACCAACTTTGGAAATCGACGAAAATCTCTCGTTATTTCCTGACTACTTCCCCAGAAAACCTGGATTCCGGTGTTTCCCCCAATTTTCTCAATTAGACCGGTGTCAGCGGATTTGAAGGAAATTCTTGGGACATTCATAATGTATTTCACTGTCATTTCCCTCACTTTTACAATGTATTTCAATGACATTTCCCTCACATTCACTAATTTTGGAACCATTTCATTCATGGGATTCATAAATTATACTGGCAACATATATTGCTCTACGAAATGACCAAGATGTCCTGCATCCAATCAGCATTCCACCTGCGATACACTTGCATTCAGCTTGCGGTACACTTGAGATACATCTGCGACACACCTGCGACACATTTAAGATACACTTGCGAGAGTTAGTATCCATTGCGAGACTTGCGTACACTTGCGTGCAACTTGTGCATCACTTGCGATACACCTGCGAGACCAATGCGAGACACACTTGCGAGAATCTGCGCACAAAATGGATGTTTGAGAGCCACCTGCGGTCAACTTGCGAGTAGGCATGAGTAAATAAGAACTAAAACTCTTGTGTAGAAAATTGAACACTGTATTCCAGACTCGTATCGCATAGCAGTGGCCACATTTTAAGTTCTCAAGTGAAGATTACATTTCTTTAGTTTAAATTTACTAAGTACTATGTTGTAGTAGACTATCTATCTGCGTGACACCTGCGATACCTGCGATCCTTTTTGATTATCTGCGAGACACTTGCGGTCACCTGCGAACGGGTGGTCCGCAAGTGGCACGCAGATTTCTATATGCCCATTAGATAGTATCTGGCTTTCAGACCAGAGTTGGTTACAGGCAAATTCTGTGATTGTTCACCTGGACCATAAACTGTGTGATCCTACTGATGAAGTGGGGGCTAATGGAAGCAATCAAGTATGTTAGCCATCGTCTTTCCCAAATACAAATGCTGAGTATCCTTACCATAGTTGGAGTGATCAAACACTGAGTGAAAGCCTCAGTGCAGCCATCACTGATGACCCTGACATCAAGCAAGAGTTATTCCCTCCCCCTGGTCCCAATGTATCAAGCACGAAGGGTGGTGGTAAAAAGAAGATACTATGGCAATGGAAGGTTGCCATAGCCATCTTCACAGGGCATTCAGTAGATACACTATGGAACCATAACAATAGAACTTGACAATTGTCCCAATAAGTCATAGGGCTACCCCAATGGGCCCAATTACAAAAGACATTATGATACTATACATTGGCCCAACGGAGGTCTTATCAGTGCCCCCTAATTCCTGCAGGAATCCGGTCATTCCGGTGGATTCTGGAGGAATGAAATTTGGCAGGGAGGCCTGCTATTTTCTTCATAATTTGGGCATTCTGGAATTGACACCGGAATGTTCTGTGGAATTCGCAGGAACAGAATGCAACAGAATCTGGTCATTTGTTTGTTTATTTTACTTCTGTTACCAAACAGAGGCAAAGTTAACAAACAAAGCCAACACCCATTCCTTTCCACCCCACACCATCCTCTTTCCCCGCCGCCCCCATTTCTGAGGACAACGGTGACGACAACGACAACCACGACAATGGCATGCCACCCAACAACAGCCACAACAACCCACTCGATAGCATGTGAGCACACCAGGTGCCATGTACAACACGAACACACCACACAGACAATGAGGCAACATGGCAACGAGGCAGAGGAGGACAATGACGAATGATGATGTCGTCGTTTGTCCTAAATGGTGTTTTCATGAGTCCATCCCCCCCATTCTCCTTTTTGCTTGACGCACACTCCCAGGTGCCACGTCGCCAACAGCAACGTGGCAACCAAACAACGAATCCGTGTATTTGTCGTTCCAACATGCAACAACCATGGCAACACGACAACAACAGCACAGCGAACACGCAACAACGATGATGCCACTACATGACGATGGTGCCATGCAACAGGCTTTATTCTTTTTTCCTGATTTTCTGGCTATATTTGCATTAATTACCATATTTGGAAATGCGCACAGACCATGTAAGCAATACCCCAACATAATTACCATATTAGGAAATGCGCACAGACCATGTTAACAGTACCCCAACATCATTGCCACCATCCCGGGGGATAATTCCTTCTGTATCAGCCTGTGCACATCCTCCCTTTATACTATTCTATGTTTTCTATTTATATTTACATGTCCATGTGTTGTCCGAGAGGTCGGACAAATTAATACTGGTCTTTAGTAAAGGTTTGAAGTGGCTCAGTTGTGTGTGGCACAGCTGAGCTGACTTCTTTTAAGTTTTTGTAGTGTTTTCTCTATTGTGGCGACGTGACACATCAGTATTGATGCGTACGCGGGAATCACCGTTTCACAATCGGTTCAGCTGAGGCAAACAGTCTGCTTACTGATTTTCTCTCTATTATTGGATGCTGCACATGGGTCTCAGACTGCACAGCAAATTGTTCATAGTTTTTCTCTCTTGGTAGACTTTGGAATATTTCATGAAGTTGAGTTTTCTTGGGTCAATGATGCCATGATTTGTGATGCGTTGATGCACGTGATGTGTCTTGCCACATGACTTCTTGGATCATGCATTGTAGCACATGACCGAATGACTTCTTGTGTTAGGTGCGTGTCGAGTTTCTACACTTGCGCATCTCTCTTCAAATTAATATCTTTTAATCCATAGTAAGATGAGACCCTGGTTTTGTGTAAACTCCAACACCCTGTGCTGAGGTGTCTTTACTCTAGAACACTCTGTAGTGTAGCCTTTTATTAGACTTTGACAATATATCATTACCAACCCTGTTCATTTGTTTGTTCCATTTCTCTTTCAATAATGACTGAGATTCAGATGCTTCGTACTCTCCTACATATGTTCACAAGGCCTTGGGGGTCTTCTGTATCCTGGTAAAAATTCCATTGAGTGAGCATCCCCGTTGCAGTACATGAAGCCCTCAAAACCATGTTTGTTGAAGTTTGCCTTTGATATATTCAAAGTGGTCTTTTGTGTGCACACCAAATCTCATTGCCATGAACTTGTATGAAACCATAACATCCTTGAGTTCATC